CGGTGCATCGGGTCCACCGCCACCACCTCGTACCAGAGGAAGGTGGAGTCGGCGTTCACCCAGTACGAGTTCAGCACGCGGAGGTTGCCGTACCTCCTGCCCAGCCGCTGCTCCGCGATGACGCGGTTGTTCTTGTTGAGCTTCACCCCCAACACGCCGCTCGTCTTGGGCTTGCCGTATGTGATGCCCTTGTGCACCGGGCGCTTGCGCCCGCCACGGCGCACGCGCACGCGAAACACCGAGTACCCCTGCTTCGTCTTGTAGCCAAGCATGCGGGCCTTCTCCGGGCGCGTCGGCCGGCGCAGGCGAACAACGGTGTGCTGGTGGCGGAACTCCCACGCGCGCACGCGCTGAATGAAGCGCATCACATCGGAAGACTTCTTCTTCCACAGCTCGTTCAGGTACATAAACGCCCCCATGGTTGGTCCTCTACGACTGTGGAGCAAGGCAAAGTCAGACACGCAGGATCAACAACAAAACGAGAAACAAATTAAAAAAAAAGACACAAAATGAGGAAAACAAAGAGGGAGTAAAAGTGGAAAAACAAAGTAAATCCAAACAACTCCAGATAGATACGCAAGTGTGGACGTGCACAGGACACCCAGCATCCCTTCTCCATCAGCAACAGAATATATATATATATATATAACTATACAAATACATATGATGGAGCACAGACAACTGAACGCACAACTTCCCCCCAGGGTTACCCCGCGCATCCCAGCAAACTCTTCATCTGCTCTACAAACTCGTGAATTTCGTTCAGACGAGCCCGATGACGACTCTGCTCCTCGCTCAAAATGCGGGTGGAGCGCTCCCTAAGAAGCTTCTCTTCATTGTTAAGGTGCACCTGCTCGAGCTCTTCCAAACGTTTTCGTCGCAGCTCAAACCAGTCACCTAAAACCTTTTGGTACTCTTCCTTGTTGTCAATGATTGTCATGACGCTCTCATCCTGCTTCGTGAGGTGGTAGGACTCCGCCGAATTATCCTGCTTCTGTCGCATGTCAAAAAGCGAGTCAAACAACTGCCGGAGGGAAACCTGAAAGTCCGCCTCCATCTTCATAAAATTTTCAAACGCGGCTTGGAGCACGACATCAACGCCATCTCCCTTCCACTTTGCGATAGTTCCGGCGTTGAGGGCCTCCAATGCGTCATATTGGTCCGCCTCCTTCTCTAAGAGTTGGTGCCGCACCTCGCGAAGACGCTTTTCGAGCTGCGCGGCTACTTCAGTTGAAAGGGCGTCGGCCTCCGTCTCGTGCCCCCACTTTGTACGTGGAATGTGGACCTTGACCTCCTTCTCAAACTGCTTAATCACTGCCTTGCATGCATCCGCGTTCCTCTGCTTGTAACGGACCGAAGCTGCATTAAAGGCACGCTCGTCATCATCCCGCTTTGCGCGGATCGCCTTCATCGTCTCGGCAAGTTCCTTGGCCTTATCCGTGAACTCTGTCTGGTACTTCTCCAGAGGGTCTTTGGCAAGCGAGGCAATGATGTCCACTTGAAGCAACTCCGCTAGGCCGCGTCCATCAGACTCCAAGCGGAAGAGCTCATCGTAAAACTTGTTCTCATCGGGGCAGTTAAACCGCTGGTAGTCATTCCGTGCCTTATCCGACTCCTGCTCCACCTTGGCCGCCTCGGCAGCGCGCTCATCATCCTCGTCAATGGGCACCAAGTTCTCCCGCTGTTCCTCGCGTGCGCTAACAATCTCTTCCGGGCGAATAACCCGGCCATCAAGAAACCGGAGCGTCGGAACAAACGCAAGAAGGCGGACCTTGTAGTGTGGCTGCTTCTCCACACGGTTACCTTTCAGTGTCAAGATGCAAAGGCTTCTCATTTGATGCAGGTACCGAGCTGTTTCTTCAAGCCCCTCTATGCAGTTGTTTCCCAGACTCAACGAGTTCAGTTTCTTATTCGCCTCTAAGCCTTCAACCACCGTAATCTTGTTGGAAAATAAAGATAGGGTTTCCAGCTCCAGAAGATCCTCCAATCCACTGATTTCTGTGATCTGATTGAAGCTGAGATCGAGCCACTGCAGCTTTTTCAAGTGCCCCAAGTTGCATATCGCCGAGATGTTGTTGTTGTCTAGCGCCAGCTTTGTGAGGTTGCCCAGCCCCACAAGATTCTCGATCTTCCCAATGTGGCGGTAGGAGGCGAGAAGCGTCGTCACCCTATGCAGCTCCATCGTCTCCATTGCCAACTTTACCCGCTGCTGCCGCCGAGTTTCCTCTCGGGCACCCACAAACCGCAGGCGCTCCTCCTCCGTGGTGCACGTGGGCGGGAGATAAATGCAGTCGCGGATGAGGCTCTCATTGATCACCGTCTCCTGCGGCTGCCTCATCACAGACACCACCGTGTACCCCTTGGACATCGTTGCGCCACGCTAGCCTAGCGAAGAATAAAATAAATAAAGCAAAAGAACAACAACACACAGCCACCACACGCAACGGCGGCGGCAGCGGCGGCGCGCAAGCCCACTAAAGAAGAAGAAGACACACAACAGAAGTTGGCTGGGTACTTCGAAGCAGGTATGCCGCGGGAGCGACGCACATGCGCACACGAGCCGAGAGAAGCAACCTCCACGAAAAGGTTGCCAAAAAAGAAGAAGAAAATAAAAAACAAAAACAAAAATAAAAATAAAAAACAAAAGAAAAAAAAAGAACTAAATAG